TGTTTTAAATTTGAAACCTGTTCATTGGAGAAATTTCTACATTTCTTTAATCATATAATGAAAGAAAAAGAATAATAAAATAAAGCGCAGAATAGAATGCAATCTTAAACCCTAAAATTTTATTACAAAAAAAAAAAAAAAAAAAAAAAGCAAGCTTATGGTCAGAATTAAATCATTGCTATATGTTTTATGCTAAGACTTTTGGTACCTCTCTAGTTGAGTAAAATAGGATTATTTTTGGATTATGTAAGCAAAAATTTGAAAGGCGTGTCTGGTCTAGGCACTTGACTATTAACAGAAACTGTTTTGAGTGTCATTACAGCCACTCATTTGATACGAGAAAGCGCCTGTTTCTTATTCTAAACAAAAGCTATGTATTCAACCGTAACTCATTTTCTTAAAATTACAATACAAGAGAATAACCATAAGAATTAAATTCGACCTAGTCGGAGAAAAATCAAGATACCATGACATTTCAATAATCTCATGCCTAACAAAAGGTTTTAAACTAATGTAATTCTGACCATAATAGTTTACAGATGTAAAATCAAAGAGTATCAGTATTTTTTTAATATTCTTAAACACATGTAGAAACTTCTCCAATTAATAGGTTTCAAATTTAAAAAAAAAAAAAAGAAAAAAAGAAAGATAATTTAAATGGTAATTGCAGACATCAATATAATTTTTTTTTATTACCTTGGACCAGGAATCCATAGAAATTGCACCATATCTAATGATCTACAGGAATTTATACCCGCTACACCTCTGTATGCAACTATTACATAGAAGACTAGCTATTTACACTCCGTAAATAACATTTTTTTACTGATTATTATGCATAAAATGCAAAATTGTTTTTTGTAAATTTACTACATAAAAGTCACAAGCTGCCTACCCTAAGTAATAACTGACGGCATGTGCCTGATAGATACATGCATACACAAGAGGGAATGATGGAATTAGCGAGCTAGATACGACACAAATGAAGATCAGTGAATTCAAGATCACATTAGGCTCATATCATTCACCCAAAACAGACCAGTAGCAATGTTATGCTAGCCATAAATTAGATTCATTTGAACACCAAACCTGAGAATTTTAGAAGCATTGGCCACCAAAGTTTATATTTGACTTTAAAATTTAACTGAGGATAATGATGCTGCCATCAAAATTACTCAAAATGCACTTAATGTGTCCAAGATGAACAATTTTTAGAATATCTGAATTCTAAGGGTTTCTTTCTTTCTCTTACTAACCTAGCATTTGTTTATTTAAGGGTTAAACTTTCTCAATGGGGGACAAATTAGCTCCACAAAGTCCCAGATTTTTCCTTTTTCATAAGTTGATTTTAAAGAGTATAACAAATTGAAATAACTTTTATATGGGCTTATTACAGATTTCTTGTTAAGTGCTTATTAACAAATTGGGAATTGAAATGAATTCACAACAAACAGTTACATTTCACTCAAGCAGAGCAGCAGATTGACATTGATAAAAAAAAAAAATACTTGATTTTCTTAGAACTTATTTTTGATTTATGGGCTGAAAAGTTATAAAATTTGAAGTTGCATGTTGGCACAACTCAAAAATTTAATTTTACAAGCCAAATTTACCGATTCACTAGCCTAGGAGGGAAGAGGTGGATTCATACCTTTTGCAAGGTTATTTTTTTGCATGTAAGTGAATATAACAAACTAGATTTGAATTGGAACTCTGCCCTCAAACTTCCAATTCTAAGGGTATATCACCACTTATACAAGCTTATATCACGTGGTATTCCTAAGCAATTATCCATCTAGGTACTTATCAGGTTTGACATTGCTTAAGTTTTATGATCATGAGAACCAGTGTTTCAATATCATATAGCAGTAAGTCTGGTTGACTAATAAGCTACACAATATATAAGCTTTGGGTAAATCAAAAAAAAAAAAAAAAAAAAAAAAAAAAAGGTGTGCATGGGTGAGAGTTTAACCCTTAACATAAGGCCCACAATCCCATCTACACATTCTCTACCCTGCTTTAAAACTCATTAACAGAGTTATTTTCAGGTTACATAAGAAGGTATTTAGAGAAGGCAAGAAAAACTGCTAGGCTAAGGGTGACATTTCTACTTGATGTTAGGTTCTTGCTCATCAAGCAATAGGAAAAAATAAGTAATGACAAAGTAGATCAACCACAGGTGTTAGGATTTGTTATACAAAATGAGATGAATATCTTGTCTGTTGTTAATTATTTTGTTATTATATTGCCAAAAAAGAATCATAACATGCTAGTCTGTATAGTAGTGTGAATATTTTCATCTCTAGTGAATGGCAACATTGGGTGCATTGAAATGCTTCCTCCACTCCAACATCAACACCTAGACAAACATTGCTTAACAGTTTTTTTTCAGGTTTTTTTTTTTTACCTGCCTCCTTTTGAGAGTTGAAGAAAATTTTTTTATTTACAACAAAACCATTCTTTCTTGGCTACAAATCAGGTTAGAAATGTCAACACTGAAAAAAGGTAGATAAGAAAAAAAGATTTTAAGTCAAAAATTACTTCATTACTATGAGTTTATTATGTGTGTAGCTGTCCACTTTCTTTGGCTGTTTTTCATTGTCACATCTTTGGAAAAGGAAAGAAAGGAAAGAAAGAAAAGAAAGAAAAGGCAAAGAAAAGGCAAAGAAAAATATGACATTCATATATATATATATATATATATTTTTTTTTTAAGAAATAGAAAATCAAGTTTGGGGGCGGGGAGAAAAAACATTTAGACAAATTACTCACTGTAAGAAAGCAAATTCTTTTTCTTTTGTAAGATACAAAGGAGGCAAGTTGGTGCTATGAACTTAAAATTTGGAAGGTAAAAATATTTCATTACATGAGGTGCTACACAAAGAGAAATTTCTCTCAGTTTTTATTAGTATTTCTTTTCCTACATTTCCTTGGAATTATTGTATTGTACCATTTTTTTTTTTTTGTTGGTTTTGATTCAATTTGTTCTACTCCATGTTCTTGTGTTTTTGCATGCTTACTGGCCAATTAATTTGATTAGAAGGCAAATATAAAAAGACAAATAAAGATTAAAGGCTGCCATTTTAATCTTAGACTTCCACTGTTGTATTTTCCCAACAAAAATTACTGCAGGTAATCTACTTCAGTTTATGTCTTTATTAATACTGGACTAAGTTCTAAGTGCTCATACATACAAATTCTCAAGTGATGCCAACCAATGAAAGTAATAAAATCCCTACAAAGATTAGAACTAGGTATCCAGCAATTGCCTTAGACACAATTATTTCTCAGATATTGTTCAATGAATAAAAAGATACTTTTGGTAAAAAGTACCAACTTTTTTTTTTTTTTTTTTTTAGTTAATCTCAAGAGACAAAAATGGGAAAAGATTAAAAATATCAAGAGAGAAGAGAAGAGGGATGGAGAGAGAGAGAAAAAGAAAATGCTGTTTTCTATATTTCATGTATAAATTAGATCATTGATAATACAGATGCATACATGTACAGGGCTTTATTTTTTATTATTATTAATATCATTCAATCATTTTTGAAAATTCAAATGAATTTTTTTTCTTCTTTACAATGTGGAAAAAAAAAAAAAAAAAAAAAAATCACAATTTCAAAACATGAAAAAAAAAAAAAAAAAAAAATAAGAGTTTATGCAGTTCTGCCTTCTAGGGATGTTTAACTGGTGTTGGTGGATGTGTGGCTGAAGGTATACATAAACGCAGAACAAAGAGGAAAAATATGAAAAAAAAAAAAAAAAAAAAAAAATTTTTTTTTTCTTCCGAAAAACATGAATGGCCAAGGAATATAGTAGGAAAAAAAAAAAAATTTAAGGTATAGAGAGACAAGAAGAAATGAAACCCGAAATTGGAGAATAGAAGAGGGTATAATACAGGGGAAAATGAAAAAGGAAAGTGAAGAAACAAGTGGGTGATTGTTAAACCATTCTTGCCTCCACATTCAGTATAACTGCCCACTCACCAACAACAGCTATCTTACAAAAGCCAATGAGTTTATACAGATGCTTAAAAGGAAAAATTGAATTAAAGATGGGGAAAAAAAAAAAAAAAAAAAAAAAAAATCACTTTACAGAGGGAAAGAAAATAGACAATAGTTAATATGAAAGAATAGCAACAGAAACAAGAAGGTGGTGTATGTTTTCCAATCTGCCAGACCACTGTTCTATCACTGCCATCACTGTGGAAGTGTGAGAAAGAGAAGGAAAGAGATTGAATGTGTGTAAGTGTGTGTGTGTGTGTATATATATATATAAAAATATATAAATATATATATATATATTTATATATTCATTCATTACTTGAATTCCCTTCATTCATTAACTGTAGGTTGCAGGACAGCCTGCCCAAACTATATATATATATATATATATATATATATATATATATATATATATATATATATATAAAAAACGCACACACAAACACCAGTGGTAGACTAGTGACAGTGCTGATAATTTCATCTAAGAATCATACAATTAGTGAATTAAGTTTGTAGGTAAGTAGACTAAAAGTCCTTAAGCTATAGCCACGGTAAGTTGGGAGGTGGACAGTGGTAGTTGTGCAGAAACTGGACACACAACCTTAATTTAGGAGTTGATTTTTTTTTTTTTTTTAAAAATCATGTAAGCTAGAATATATGCATTTTTTTTTTTCAATCCAGTTTGTACATGTGTTTTTTTTTTTTTTTTTTTTTAAATACTTTTAATAACCCTTTTATGTGAATTTTGTGACCCACGTTTGTCCCCAAAATTCTTGACACCCACTAGGCTGTACATTGATGCCCGTTTTGGCAGACAAAAAAAAAAAAAAAAAAAGTTATCCCACCCCACCCAATTTCCCCACAGCTGTATAACACTGAACATGACTCAGCATACTGCTGGTCGAGACACTTTAAAAAAAAAAAAAAAAAAAAAAATCCTTTAAAAAATTGTATTTATGTTGTGTTTTTTTTTTTTTATAAAAGTAATTCAGTCTTTTACATTTTCCCTTTCCCTTTTACTGCTCCACGAGGTGGGGTAACAGGTCGCCCAGCATTCAAGCCACCATACAAGAATTTCTTTTTATCAGCGGGTTTCAATATCTGTAAAAGAGAATAAAAAATTATTTAAGTAAAGACCACTAACTCTCAAAAGAGTTTCTGGCTTGACAATTATGGAACAGTAGTATTTAATAGTGATTTACCAGGCATAGCTTAGATGTGGCACATGGCCGAAAGTATAGTATAGTATCCAGTAGTACATATATATATTATACTACTACTTTTTCAAGAATTTTAATTCGGATAACAATTACCAGGTTTTTATCTTAGTACTTCTTTCAGCAGAAGGTTAAAAATGCAATTTTGTATTCTTGACAAATATTCCTTAACAAAATACAAAGGCCAGCAATCATAACTATATTCCATCAATCAGCTTCTCACCTGGAATGAGCACATTAAAGTCTCATCAACACTCATCATGGCACCTGCATTATCAAATTCCCCACAGTAGTTGGGTGCTGAAAAAAGTGTGACAAGTTGTCTTTTTGCGAAAAATTCGTAACCATCTTCCACTACCTACAATAAGGAAATAATTTCAATTAATGCAGAGTAAATTAGACAATTTTATCAAATGTCACAAGAAAAAAAAAAAAAAAAAAAAGGAAACAGCCAAATGGGTCACATCTTACCCAATAATTTATGAAGTTAAGCTCTAATGAAGTCAGAGAGAAAAATCAGCACTCCAAAACTCCTCACAGAAAACCCATCAATGCAATCATTAGTGAAAATAAGATCATGCCAATTATGAATGAAAATTACAAGTGTTTAACAGATTAGTTACTGTAAAATAATTCAAACATTACTCCCACAGAAACAAAAAGAAATGACAAAAATAAAACTATAACCTGATGAACTCAATATAAGTCAGAGAAAAAGACTACCCCCTCCACGACAGACAGGTATTTAAGACTAAATTTTGTCTTGTGCCAGATTAAGTTAAATTTAGTCAATACCTCTACAAGTAACAATATTTTTGCTACAATTAACATTTAAAAATCATATTTCTTTTTGTTTACTAGAACTTGAGAGATGTGGAAGCTAACAAGTCAATTTCTGATAGCAAATCTGTAATTAGTTTAAATTTAACTCATTAAGAATCTAATCATTTGAGGGTGATAAAAAGAAGTTTCCTCAAATTTGATATTCCAAATAATCTTGACTTATCTCCCAAAATGTATAACCAGTCAATTCAATTATTAAGTTGATAACTATTTTAGGTGGCAAATAAGGCTGTAGAGTGTAAATTTTTCTACTTATAGCTAGAAGTTGTTATAAAAAATAATTCTAGTCGTAACCCCCCACAAAAATAGTAAAATGCAAAAATATCCTTACCTGATGAGCTCGACAAATAAGATCCAAATCATGTTTGTGTAAGAATTTGGCCACCACTTCAGCACCAAATGTGAATGATACACCACGGTCATTTTCACCCCAGCCCATTGTTTCTTTGTCAGGATCTGACCACAATAAATCACACAGCAAGCCCTGATCTGGGACATCAGTAGGGCGCATGATTCTCCGGATTTGTTCCATTGACTGTAAATCAGGACTCAAACCTATTAAGAAAAAGAAAATAAATAAAAGAAAAAATATGATCATGTGCTGAAAAGAAAGGCACAAGGTACTTCAAAACATCTAACCAAATGTTGAGGTTTTATTTTTTTTGCTTCTTTCCTCCTGAACTTTAACACCACCATAAGATTCTAAGACATCAATATTTATAAATACTATGCAAAAACTGCCAGAATCTTGTCAGTTTTCTTATTGAAAATTATGACATTCACCCATTAGAAATAATTCTATTTTATGTTTTACTGAAGTCTCCAATTCTTGAATTTTGAATGATCCAATCATATTCAAAGCCCAATAAAACTTTTTCTTTTTGGAAATTTTAAATTTTTAATATTACTTAATTTTTTTTTTTTTTTTTTTTAGCTACCAGGTGCATACAGACAGGCCAACTGTTATAGGATAGGTAAATAAATCCAAGATTCAAATACTCTTAAGCCACATCACAACTTAACATACAAGTAGTGTGCGATGGGTAAATTGTCGATATTTTATATTGTTAATTTTGCACATTTGCATTGATTGTTTCTGTCAATTACACAGTATAGCAGGGTCAGTTGGGCACTGTGAGAAACAGATCACCATGACAATTCAATCCACCAGAAAACCGGTTTGGTTTGTTTTTACAGCATATCAACCTCAACGGGTTATTTAATGCCGACAATTTTTATTGTTGGTAATTTTTTTTTTTTTTTTTAAATCTATTTCTGGTAATATTTTCCCTTCAGAAATTCTATTTCTGGTAATAATTTTCTTTGAAATATGTATTGCTGGTAATATATATTTTTCTTTTTTCCAAAGTATTTCTGGTATTAAAACCTATTTTTACACTTTCATAGTGTTTTGACCCCAGTTACAATTCCATTGAATAAGGTTTCGCATCTTATGTATTTTAAATTATTACATGTTCAATTTTTTATATATATATATATATATATATATATATATGAAGTGTCTATCATTTCTATATACTTCTGACTATTAGCATTTTGTTTCTTGTTATGTTTTGTTCTTTGAACTTCTTTTGTTTCTACTTTGTTTGATTTTGCTCCCTTAGTTTTACCATTTAGTTCTTTCATTGAACTTTGCCCAGATGATCTTTCCCTTGTTTGTGATGGGTTAGAGATTTGTTTCTCTATGTCCATTTTCCTTGGTCCTTCAATAACCGTTTCGTTAGTCTCTTTTTTTTTCGTTTTGATTTTTTCGGGTTTAATAGTTTTGTAGATTCATTTTTGTTTACCGGTTGACATTATAGGGTGTGTTTTTCCATTAGGTTCTTTTAAAGATCTTTGTATAGATGATGACTGTTCCCTTGTTTGTGATGGGCTAAAGTTTTGTTCCTCTATCTCCATTTCTCTTGATTCTTCACTAAAAGAAGAGTTTTTTTTTGTTTTTTGTTTTTTTATGTACCTTTTGATTCTCTTGAGAATATTTAGAAGTTTCTATTTCTTGGATTTTTGTATTTGGTTTGGAATTTTTGGATTTAATTGTTTTGTACATGTAGAGACTTTTTTGTTTGAGGTTGATGGACAGGATTTTTTTTGTCTATGGGCATTTGATTTATGAGTGATATATCACATTTTAGTAGTTCTACTAAACTTTTTAATTCATTAAGAGTTAAGATCTTGGCTTCTTAATGCATTGTTTTCTTGGATGACTTTTTGTTGATTTGATATTTTAGTGATATTTGCATATGATGCTTGAAATGAATTAGATTCAACCTGTTTCCTGGCTTCTTGGAATGAGATATTTTGTGTATATTTTCTTCTAATTATTTCCCTTTTCCAAATGTTACACTCTTTGGAGTCTGCTGAATGTTTTTCTTTACAGTTTGGACATAAAGGAGACCTTTCACAAGGTGATTCATCATTCTCAGTTTCCGGTTCCCCACATCTTTGACAGATGCTGTACAAACATTTTAAAGATGACCAAATTTATGACATTTATGACATCTACAGGGGATTAGGAATATATGGCTCTACCTTGGCTATTGTGTAACCTATCTTTATTTCTTTTGGTAGACTTGGTTTGTCAAATGTCAAAATATATGTGTTGTTGTTTATTACTGTGCCATTTCTTTTTACTTGCATTCTTTTTACCTCCATTACTCCTTGCTTTTTTAGGGTGTCATCATTTTCAATTTCTTCTGATAAACAAAGTGACAGTTCTGGGCATTTTATTACTCCTTTTGATGAATTAAGGAATTGATGGGGTTTGGCCTTAACTTTATTGTTGTCAATTTGCTTGATTTTTAGCAATTTCTCTGCATCTTTTTTGGATATCACTTGAATTAATAGTTATTTTTCTTTGTTTTTTTAACAGATTGTGGTTTGATCATGTCTAAAATAACCCTTTGTAACACGAAAGGAGACACTTGATATATCACCCTCTACTGATTCTACAACAATGAATGTTGAAAATTGATTTCAATTTTTTCTATTTCATTTTCAGAAGTCTCATATTGTCTCTTGGTTCACTTTATAAGAAGTAGCCATATAATTTTAATTTTTGTATTGACTGTCTGTGCTCCCCACCCACGTCGGAGTTCCTTCTTAAGGGACGCTATCAGGGGGGACTAATCCCATTCACCCTAATCCGTCAGGGCTACACAGTATAGTTGTGATGAGAGTGGATATGAGCACCTGCACTCCATCATATCTATCCAAATATAGTATGATGTAAGGTTTCGTGGCCCTGTCGGACACATTATCTATCATCCCAACAAGCCCTTGCCACAATGTAATTAGCCGATTGGAATGGATTGGGCTATTCCATCCGCCCATCTATCCCGAAGTGACATATGGAAACTCACGGTCATTTTACACCAGATCAGGAGTCACTCAGTCACCAGGCATCATAGGTCGCCACCCACGGCAAATGGGTGGCCCCATTTAGGGGAAGTTTTAGTTTTTTTGAATGTGCACTTTATATACTGCAATTTGTGTTGATAGTATTATTATTACAAAAATCCCATTCTTACACTTTTCCAGTATTCTGATTCCAAATCAGGGGAGGGGGAACTATTTACCCATAGCTGAGACCCTAATAGGTGCTACCAAACCAGGTCAGGGTGGACCAGGGAACAACAGCAACTAAGAGGTGGTTCCACACTCCCCAAAACCTTCTGATCAGAAGCCTTGATGCTGGATGCAGTTTATTGTCATACCCAGGACAAACCAGAAAACTGGAAACTGCATGCTGTACTGCTTGGCATTCATGCTGGAAGCTCCAATATGAACATTGGAGAGATTTTGAAAATTGGATGAATCTAATGGTGATTATGAAGGTATGGCAGCTCTGAAAACTTATTCTGATCATTCTGATAAGAAAAGAACTGAATTTGTTGGTGAGGGCCTCAAACACAACACAGAAACCCACATGAAGTACCTTAAGAAGGTAGTACTGTCCTGGGTCAAGAGTGTGGCTGCTGGAAGACTATATCTGGCAGCAGGACTCCGCACCATGCCACACAAGCAAGAGAAACTAGTTATAGCTGTCAGACAATTTCTGTGACCACATCACCCCTTCCATCTGGCCATCTAACTCCCCAAACTACAACCTCATTGATTCTTATGTGTGGGGCACAGTTGAGCAACTAAACTCCTTGTAATGCCAAAGAAGAACTGAAAGATTATAGCAGTATTCACCAACTTGAACAAGAAGAATTGCAGGAGATTCCAGTCAACTGGAGGCCATGGTTGAAGCCAATGGTGATTTTATTTGATAAATTTACTCTTTAGTATTCCAAGATGTTATTTTCATTTTTGTGAAATTTAAATGACAATTTATCCATAGCACCATGAATATTGAAAGGGAAGAGAGGACATTCTTAAAAAAAAAAGAAAAAGTTTGCTTTCTGAAGCCTGATGCAAAATACTCCCATCTCAGTAATGTTTTTAAGAGTTGTTCAAATTCACATTGATGACAGAAAAGTAAGCTTCATAACTCTTAAAAGAATGTTACCAGGATTACATTCCTTTATTAAAATATCCATCTGTTGAAATCAGTTATGGTTTTAAATAATTAACAAATTTCATAAACCAAGTCTGCTATTTAAAACTGTATGTTAGTTTTCTGCATAGAGTAAAATATTCAATATAAAACAAATAGTTTCCAGTATAAAATTAAGTGTACAAAGAGGAAATGTAAACTCCAGTCAGCAGTAGACCGGCAGATAAAAATAACGAGAAAGCAATTGTTAATAACAAATTAAACCAGCTGTTGGCCAACCAGTTTTAGCCAGTCCAACTAATAGTTTTTCAAATCTTTCAGAGTGAGTGTTTACATACATTATCATGTTAACCAACTTACCAATGCTCACCTGCAGAAGTTTCCCACACTAGAAATACATTTTAATAGAAATGTTAAAGTTTAGAGAAAATGTTACAGTAATCTACATGTGACAACAGGTTTGATAGCGAAGGAATTTTTAGGTTGTTTAAAACATTACTTAAAAACAAAAACAGGATGCTCGAGATCTGTTTCAAAAGAAAAACCAATTAAAAACTTAAAAATCTAAAGTTTGTGAGCATTTATTATTACTATTACAGCTGCAACTAAAACCATCAAACTTTAATATAAAAACAAAAATTAAAGAAATAACATTTGAGTAAGAAAATAGCTGTTACTGTTGAAAGGATATTTTAACCATTCCATTTTCCTAGGATTTCAAGATTAGTATTTAAATCTTAACATTTACACAATTCCTAATTTGAATCCTATTGAAAAATGAAAACTAAAAGCAAAATAAATTTTAAAATGTTGGCACATTTACATACTTCATTAACAATTAAACCAAACCCCACATTGTACATTCAGCCATATATTCATGGCTAGTGCAGTTAGCAAATCAATGTTTAAACAGTCTATCTACAATTGCTAAACTAGTCACATGTAAATATAAACAAAGGATTAGCCCAGGATGTCTGGTTAAGTTTTTAGAGATGCAAAAAAAAAAAAAAAAAAAAAAAAGCAAACATTTAAGTGATTTTTAAACTGCTTTATGAAAAAGCAAGATTGAAGGACAAATTTAGATATTTGTTTTATTTATATCTAAATGGGAAAGAAAAAAATAATCTAATTGTAAGAATTTTGCTTCAATAAAGAAGATATTTTTGGGGCCAACTTTTGGTTAAAAAATTTGAATGACCTTTTAAACATTTGTTATGCTTTCTGCTAATAAACTAAAATAAAAATTAAAGGGAGAATTTTAAAATGATAAAACATAGGAAATTTACTCAATGTAAATCAGGCAATTGTAAATGACAATTTTCATAGAATGACTTTACAAATTTTTCTTCGATTGTAAAAACTTAGAATGCAATATTCTTTATATAGAAAATAAATATACACAACATAATTCTTAGTACAAGAATTTGCTGAATATTTCTGTATAAAGTTATTCAAGATGAGCTAAATGAAATCAGTAAATAAACTTAAGGGCAACCAAGAGAAGAAGCTGAGCCAACATGTGATGTGCATTCCTGTGATGTCATCCCTCCTGCTGCCTCTTAAAACCCAAACTGCCATGTCTGCCCCTGTCCCACACCATAAAAACGAATAAGAAAAAGAAACTGTCCTTTTCATTGATACCATTTTATTTAATAGTGTGGGACCACACAGAAAGCAACAGAGGCAATCCCAGTATGTGGTACTTTTGGAACATGCTTGGAATCAACCAAGCATTGACACAAACCTCGTGAAGGAAATTGGTTAGACAAAGTTGTTGGAGTTATCAATGGTTATGTTAACATGAAGTGGCACATCATTGTGACTAAGGGTTTGAACATGTACACTCTCCCAGCAACTGTAACTAAGGCCTGCTCAGCATAGTTCCAATATGAACCACAGGACAGGTGAGCTCTGTGGGTATTGAAAAAACCTATGTCTGAACAAGTGTCTTCAACAGGGATTGACCAGCTATCAGTGTGTGCTTGGAAAACAAGTAACCAGATACTATAAAACAAATGTAATTATGATGGGTACTAAAAAATTATCTGCCTGATCAAGAAGCTTATCATATTTGGTCAGATTCAAGAAAGCAAGTTGGAGGAAGAAAAAAAAATAAAAATAAATAAATTACATGAATTTTACCAGGCTGAGTCACTAAACAGAAAAGCACTTCTTTGTCATTTAAAAAGAAAAACAATAGCTCAATGCTTAAGTGAGCAGTGAAATCTTCCAGAGACAGCTGAGAACCACTAACAAATTTTTCACAAGACAATGAAACTAAAACTCAACATATTGGGAAAATATTTGAGAAGGATATAAAACTATATATATCTCCAACAGACATTTATGTAAACAGTCAATATCCACCATCTAAATGACCCATTTTAACTAGATTTTTCATTAATTTGTCTGGTGCCTGTGGTAATGTTCTAATATCCGAACATGCTTGGAAATAAAGCTAAGACTGGTTTTGCTGATAATCTATAGTTTTATTTTTTGTGGAAGACTGGCAGGGTTTGTTTGTTTAAAATTAAATCACAATATAGAGAATATGAATTTATGAACAATAAAATAATGTTTTCTACAAACCTGTAAAAATTAAATCATTCCTAGCTAGATGAAGATTTTATTTCCTTCCCCACCATGACTGCTACTATAAGCACACTCAATATAGATTCATTTGTGATCTACTTTTAAATATAAAATATATATATAACATTAGTATTTCATGTAAAGAGTAATTCTAATAATTCCTTTATAAAGTATTTCAACAGCAATGCAAGACACCCAAGTAGGTTTGGCTGGTTTTCAAGTTCACCAGCTCTGCAGTTCATTCCACCTGTCTAAAAGTTCACTACTGACATAATAGAAAGAAAACAAAGCTAATTAAAACAGTTCGACTGTTGAAAAATTAGTACACTCAAACAAAAGACAGTTACACTAGCCAATCCAATTAAACTGAAATTCAACAAATCAGTGAGAAATTTCCCTTCTGAAATTGTATATTCATTAGATAAACATGTTGGAGGTGAGAAACAAAAACAGCAGTAAAACAAATGATACTCTAAATATTTCCATTAAGTTTTAGTAAATTACTTTTAATATCATAGGATTCTGTTTATGGCAACCATCATAAAATCTATATATATATATATATATATATATATATATATATATATATATATATATATATATATATACACACACACACACTCACCTCCATGGCAACAGAATATTTTTTCATCAATAATTGCAGCAATAGGCAAGCAGTTGAAACAATCTGTAAATGTTTTCCACAATTTGATATTGTATCTCCGTTTACCTGAAAGTAAAAAAATAAAAATATTATCAGTTTTTATTTAGTATTTATTACAAATCCTTTTTTATTTATATTTTTGTAAAATTTCCAATTTAATCTTCAAATATAAGCAGAAAGTGAGGAATATTTCCCCACTCACCAACACTTATTTCAGTGTTGATAAGAAACATTTGTAACATTTTGTTTGTTACTTTTAGATTATCTCTAAAAAAAGATAACCATGCAGGAATAATCATTGTTCTGTAATCAATATTATCAATCACACATGTCAATTTCGTCAGTCTATCAACTTTTAGATAACATTAAAGAATTTAATTAAGCTCATTTCTGACCTGTGACAAAATCAACCTGAGCATATGAGGGGAAAAAAGTAATTATGATCTAAAACTATTGACCATGATTAGCATATAAGATCAATTTAAAATTACTTAAAACCTAACTGCAGATAACATTAAATGAGAGTAATGGCAAAAATCAATAGTGAACACACTTGTTACATTCCTGCTTTGTTCATGTAGTTACATTTTCTTTGTACTTGAAGTCATCAGAGTAGAAATTGGGTTATGAAAAGTGATTGATACATGCAGTTTCATATAAACATTTAAGCAATATTTCAAGGAAGATATGAAATTAGGAGATAAATGATAGATAATAATATCTACTTTAAAAGTTATACAAAAATTTGTTATGGCTGCTAAAAGTCAGATTCACTGGAAGAAAGCCATTCATTGAATAAAATGTCCTATAAGCTGTCAGTATATATTTTAAGGATTTGATAAAAGTAAATGTTAACATTTAAAAAGGTTTTTCAGGAAACTTTGGTATAATATTGAGCAACATTTAATAGTTAAATGAATTTTTGGTCCTATTCATAACAGGTTGTTTAAAGAAAAAAAAAGAAGAAAAAAAGAAAAAGAAAAAAAAAAAAGAAAAAAACTGCCACCTTAATGGGTTCAAAATGTCAAACACTGCCAAATAATGTAGGGGCAGGACAAAGAAGAGACCGAAATTCAAGACATTACCAGGTTTAGTATGCTGGTGGTGTCTTAAAATTCAGAAATTTCATACATATGAACTAAAATATCAAAATTTGAACATTTTTTTTAAATTCAAATGTTGACCATCACATGTCTTAATTCAGTTCTTTTGTCCTCCCTTCCTCTTCAATAAAATTTACTATTTTAACCTCTTGCATGGACTGTAAATGGAGGGATGAGGATGAGGAAAAAAAAAAAGAAAAAAAAAAATGAAAAAAAAGAAAAGAAAAAAGTCAATCAAAATAAAGGCAATAAATAAAAAGGACAAGTTTCTTCCTGTGGAAGAGTGTAGACAAAATTAGATTAAAAGGAAAAAAGATTACCACAATACTCTGGTGGATGGATGTGACAATAATATTTAAGCAGTTTTAAGAACTGCTATGACCACAACCATTATGCATCACTTGAAACAGACCAAAAAATTGTGACATTTTACCCATCATAACAAGTGAAACAAAGACGTGGCCTTAACTTATTTTCATTTTTAATTTGTTTAGATTTGGGGAGAGGGAAAAAAAAAAAAAAAAAAAAAAAAGACCAAGGAGGCACAAAATCACAGAATTCCCCTCCCAAAATAAATCAAAGAAATAGTTGGTAATGTGTACTCACATTCTGATTTAGGATTCAAACTATGAACTTCAAAAAAGGTATAATAGATAAAAATATGTAAACAGTGGTAAATATTCTGGACTGAATTTATTTTGTTAAAGCATTGTTCAAAGTACACCAGATAAAAGTCATCTCCATAATACAAGCATAATGGACATGAGAATTAAAAATACAGGCAATGTTTTACTAAAAGTTATTTTAATACAAGTCTACAAAAATACCAAATTTTCTAATATGGTGGTACCATGAAAATATCTTCAGAAGTATGGTATTCGTAGCATTTTAAATTTTCGTAACACACCTAGTATATCAAAAAATCTATGATTGCCAATTTTTGACTGAAATAGAATTTTATACAAATCACTGACTTTTCTAAAAGAAAGACTTTCTGAATGCCAAATGACTGTATGCAGATTAGTTTTCTTTGAAAGAAAAATATAAATGTAAGAAGTTTCTCATGACAAGTTGTTTAGGGTGTGAATAAACTGGACCAAAATTGAAAACATTTAGAAATCTCACCCTAAAAATTATTCAACCATTGTAACACACACACATATATATATATATATATATATATATATATATATATATATATATATAAGATTCATATAACTAAGTTTTTAATCTGACAACTGAAATGGCACTCACTGCAATCAAAAATTAGCTTCCACAATTGATTCCAATTCTCAAAACATTGCAAATACTTAACTTCCTACATATCAAGGTGTTCATGCACTACTAACATTCCCAATAGACCACAAGAGCAGTTAAGTCTTTGAACCTAGCAATAAATCAAACTTACTGGAGAAAAAAAAAATATAAAAGGGCAGCTATGAGCGAGTGAAAAAGTATACTGACTTAAATGTAGAGATGTTACGTATATTAGCATACTAACATAATTGATTGACATAGCTGAGACACCCAACAATTACTCAATTGTTAAGAATAAGGCATTTATCAGGATTACTTTCACATAACCAAAGGATAGGTGATTAACTAAATCAGATATAAATTAAGCTTATGCTAAATACTGTTGGGCAAAACTAGAGTTAGAAAGAAGAAAAAAAAAAAAAAATTTGCATCATAACCATGTTTACTGCCTCTAGTCTCTGAAACTAAATTGGCAACTCAATATTTAGGTCAAGTTTAAGTTATGTTTTTACAAAGGAAGCTTTCTATATTTGATATAGGTCAATCAACAAGAGTAAAAATTATCAGCTCAATTAAAAAGATTTCTCAAGCAAAGACTAAATAGAATTTTATGCATTTACAATAAATTAAGTAGCATAACTCATGAAGAACTGGATGTTATATCAATAAGGAAAGATATTTTAAGCAAAACAATCTACTGGCAACTCTAAAATTTTTCTGAAGCAATACAAAAATTGAATCTTGGCAAGAATGAGCTCTGAAGGTGGGGACTGCTTTTTAGATAGGACAACAAATCATTTCAAAAATATTTTAGGGGATAAATGTTTGAATTAGATCACAAATATCCATTTACCTCTAATTTGAAACTTTATGAAAACAACCAAATTATATACACACACACACACGAGAAAACTTTGAAAGTGGAGCATAGATTATAAAAGTTATTCAACTTGCGTAAACTGACAAAGAAGTCTAACATCAAAGAAGTATAGAGAAAAGTGAGAATTTGCTATTGTCAAATGCTAACCAATATATATAACACTACAATTTCAGACTATATAGAACATCACCATACCAATAATGTTCCATAAATTAATCCTCACTGCATCTTTTCATTAGCAAAAATGAGGAAGGATTCAAATATTTTACTTAAGGGTATAATAAATCCTAAATATAGGAGCAATTATGCCATGAAAGATTTCAAAAATTAGATTAACTACATACAATTTCAAATTAGATTTAATTATATGAAACTGTACATTATAAAACAAATTTGAAAACTACATTGTTTTCAGGAGAGAAAAAAAAGCATTTAACCAAGTTGTAACCTGTTAACTATACTAAATCTTGTTTTGCTATTGAAACAATGGTTGGTACTTGTCTTAACACATCAAAATCATTGCAAAAATCTTAAAAATCATGACTATTAGGAAAGGTGGGCCAGGTTTAAAAGAGACTAAATAAAAAAACAAATACAAGTTTGGACCTGTAGCAAAAAAGAAACATGAAAAGCTTTCAAAGCAAATGTTTTTCTGTCAATTGTTTGAAGTGTGATAAACAGTGTTTTGTATATTCCTTAGTGATTTTAAGTAAAAGAAAGCTAAGTATTTGTGAAATCAGATTGTGTAAGTACTTAAGATAAGGGGGGGGGGGTATCTACTCAACTCACTCCCAAAAACTTGACCAAGTCTCCCTATTTTTTTTTTTTTATGAGAACTCCCTAGCTGAGAATTTTCCAGTCATATAGTATTTACCATTTATGCTTTTCTTAGAAAAAAAAAAAAAAAAAAAAACAACCTACAACAGACAAGATGGCATAGCATTTGATTAAATTGTGTAATATTCATGGCTTTTTGGCATTTTAACTGTATATATATATTTTTTTCCTATAAAATCAGCTTTTGTTTACTTGATCACAAAGAATAGTTTTCTGTCTGATTGATGTAAAAAGTTAAAGCCAAATATTTCATCTCTTTTCCTAGTAAGTACTAGGAATTGTACTTAGGAAAAAAAAAAAAATTGTGAAAAGTAATGGCTAGCAAATAAATTTATCAACAGAAATCAGTCATTGATCAAAAATGTATTATTGCACAAGCAAATTGTGCTACACATAGCTTAAACATGAAAAGTAGGATGTTAATTAATGTTTTATAATTTTGACTGCACATGTAACGTCAACTTTAAAATTTGCCATTCACATTCTTTGAATACTAATCAGTTATTTTGCTCATCCAGCAATAATAGATCAGTTATAAGAGAAAATAAGAAAAAGCAATTGAAGTAAATTATTTCTATTTCCTGCTATTAAAGTCAGGTGAAAGCTAACTGGAATAATCTTTTGAAAAAAATTCCAGATTACCTTTGATCTATCAGAACAACCATACCAATTACACCAAGGTCTATTTATAGACATAATAACAAATGTTAAGAGTAAGTCTACAGGAGACAGTTGGTAGCAACTATGAAAAAAGCGTTATTCAGCTGAGGTGGAGAATATTTTCAGGAAACTAATACATGTTAGTATCTAACATTTAGATTGTCTCATGAATCTAATTAAAATTAAATAAACTCCAAGTAAGTTTGTTTATATATAGGACACTTTTTCTGACAAGATTTTCCAAATATTTAGGCTGATAGATGTTGGATATATAAAAAAAAAAAAAAAAAAAAAAAAAAAAAAACAAAAAAAAAAAAAAAAAAAAAAAA